TGCACCTATTACACATCCATACTCAATCGTACTGTATTTACTCACCTATTCTCACAAAACCATGTACAGATGGGACTTAATGTGATCAACAATGTTTTGTATTCAGGGCTGTCATGGTAGTTAATGGGCTCTTTGTGTCATTACTGTACACATGCTCTCTGACAGGAATATCTTTGCATATGTCAAAATTGAGCACACCTCGCTTAGCTATGTATTATCATGGAACCATCCCAGCACATAGGCCGTCACCACCATGCCAGTCTCATATCATTTGCATTCCATAATGGGCTCAAAACATACAAACAACATTATGCAAACTCATAATCAAATGAATGTCGATGAAGAGCTTAGACAACGATGATATCATATTTCCTTGTTATTGTGCCAAACTGGGAGGGAAGCACTGCTCTTTCTTTGTTAGATAAAATGGCCCAAAGCCAAAATTTACACATCTTTTCATACACAAAATGGACGTCGTGGACACAGCCGGTGGACTCACATTTCGCTGGAATGACAAGTTTTAGTTTGAAACTGAGGACACTGATGCTGTATAGTTAATAGAATAATCAAATGTGAAAAAAAAAAGTTTCTCCTTTCATGCTTGAAAGTATAAGACATATGATGGAGTAGACTCAACAAACATCTTTTCAATAATCCTCTTTCTAACCAGCACCTGTCAGTATCAAATATACATCAGGTAATATACACTAGTTTGTGTACATGAAACATACAGTCAACGAGGTCCACTTAACACGCATTATAGCAGCAAGACTTTGTTTGCTATTTAATATTTGCTGTATACACTGGTCTAGAGGTGTAAAGTTGTTTTTGTTTGTCGTAATGAAAGACTCACTTGTCAGATTTTATCAGGAGATAGTCTTATGATCAGTAGTTTTAGTGTAAAAGGAGTTATCTTAACTGTGTTCAGCATTTTAGTTTATATTTTAAGCAGTTCCTCAGTAAACTGATGATATTCTAAACCACATCCAGAGGACGGTATGACTATGAATGACAAATATGGATTACCTGGGACTGCTGTAAAACGGGAAGTACGTTGAAATACAACAAAACTATCCATCCATCCATTATCTATACACTGCTTAACCTTCACTTAGAGACAGACAACCAAGCACACTCACATTCACACCTACGGACAATTTAGAATCACCGATTGACCTCAATATATTTTTTTAGTCTGTGGGAGGAAGTCGGAGAGCCCAGAGAGAACCCACGCTGCATGGGGAGAACATGCAAATTCCACACAGAAAGATCAAACTAAGAACTCTAAACCCATATAGTATTAAAATATGTTGGTAACATTCAAATTATTACTAAATAAAGAAATAAAGGAATTTCCATGGGCGATAGTTGGCTGCCAATCCTTTGTTGTCATAAGAAGATCAAGTGTACAACCTATAGAAATCAGCAGATATTTGTTGCTCTGCCAAGTTCACATTACAGCTTTATTCACTTTAAAGTGCTATTAAAAAACAAAAAAACAAAAACCTCCTTCATTCAGGACTGGATAACCAATCAGGCAATACGGGCAACTGCTCCAAGGCTCTGGATTATAAAAGGGTCATTTTCGGGCTGCACTGGAAAACCTTAAAACCTTTCTGGACTCACTGTTCAGTAAATTTTACTAAACATTTACAGCCAGGTACACACAGACACCAGAGAGTACTAAGTACAAATCTCTCTTCAGAATGCAGAGTAGGCCAACTCTGTCCTGCGGCATTCCACACAGCTTGTGCACCTCCTAGAGGGACGGATGCTACTGATTGATCAACATCTGCACACAGGGCAGGTTTATATGTCTAACTGTAAGACAAAGCTGGTGAATCAG